CAAAACATTAAAAGTTAAATGTTAAAAGCCAATTCATTCTGCATGTCAAACAATCACTCTCTTTACAAAATAATATGCATTAAAATCAATATAATAAATACTGAAAAAATTGTATTATGCAAGCATGATTAATTATATTAAAAATAAATAATCTCTTATACTTTTATTTATATCTGGGGCGGGGTTGGCGTGCCGGACTGCGGATCTAAGGTTTTGTGGTTCGCACCCAGTTATTGCAAAATCACGCTATGCACTATGGGGTTGTGGGTGCGTTTATAAGTGTGGTGGTCAAATCCCACTCTTAGTTTTGAGTAGCCCATGAGTTCGAAGTGGGTGCTATTGTCTGGCTGTCTTTTTCTTAGTCTACCAGTTCAAAATTATAGGAACGGCCAGCCTTTATTTAGCTTTATGCGAATATCTGAAACAAACAAACAAGTTTTATACTTTGTTTCATTAAATCTTATTAGATATAATATATTTAAAATAAATAATTATTTTTCAGTAATTTTGCACTGATTGGTTAGTTTATGGATTTAGTCTCAAATCCTCTGATTCGGTGAAAATAATTCGAAGTTTGTCCATGTAACAATAATAAATTAGCATTTTTCTTCCTTAACATTTCTACAAACTGTCTTCACTTGTTGTTATTTGTTACTAAGCACAAAGGACTATCTGTACTATGCCCACCACGAGTATAGAAACCCTGTTTCTAGTGGTACAAGTCCGCAGACATACCACTGTGCCATTGGGAAGCCCTTCACTTGTATACTGTTATATCTTGTAGGCCTGTGTACAAATGACGTTCAAATGGAAAACGTAACTGATGGTACTACGACCAATGTTAAAATAATAAACTTACTTGTATTATTCCACGGCTAATCGATCGAGTAACTGAATATACTCGATAACTAACAATGATCTAAATACTTCACTGAAGTAAACTAACTGATCCAATGTTTGCTGACTCTCGTATTTATACGAATGTTTCACTTGTAGATATTCGTCGAAGTTACTGGAATTTTGTGATGCCATCGAGACATTTTAAGTATTCTAGGTCTAATTTTATATACTTTTTATCTTAACGACATTCGTCCACTAACATCTAAATTAAAATATTAAAAATATAGTTTCTACTGTCTCCTTCTTGGACTGTGAAGTCCCTTGAAAATCCCAATATAAAAATAAAACAATAAACTGTCCATTCACCTAATAAAAGCATTTCTTTATTCATCCCAGTTAATTCTTAACACACCTAACTGTCCAGCCATTGGAAAGTTCTGGAGATGATACAGTACTTCAGAATGTAGAAAATATGGGAGTCCCAACAGTATTCATTGCTTTTGTCCACTGGTATCTTCTCATTTCTGATATAACAAGTCATAATGAATCTCACTGCCCAATACATCTTTGTCATCGGGCTGTATAGTGCAATTGTTTATCATGAGCATCTTTCAACTGAGTGTTAGACCACACTAGTTCTTCATCATCACTTGTGTATTTAACACATTGGTTTTATATTCTACTGTACTTTTGGTTGGTTGTCTTTACTACTTTGTGCTTCCCTTTTTGAATAGTGTTTACGTTCTTCAGGAACATATGGTCTTCAGGAAAATTTGCCAGCCATTTCAATGTGGCATGATCTATCTGAAGTATAAACATCTGCCTATATAGATAATAATGAAAATGACTTAAAGCTTGAACAACACTTAGTAGCTAATTCCAAACTGTACAGTACCTCATTTATGCAGGTTTTATTGCCTTTATATAATAGGTAATCACATGATATTTTCCATTTTGCACTTGGGACAAAACTGCTCCCACTGCAAAATTACTGACGTATGTGTATAAAATGAGTTTATCTTCCAGAGTTGGTTTAGTATACTAATCAAAGAGTAGTAGTCAATTCCATCTTCAGTTTGTTGAATGTTTATTCACAATCAGCAGTCCAACAAAACGTATTTGGCTTTTCAAGTAATTTGTGTAAAGTATAAGCTATGTCAGAGAATGATTTTACAAAATGAAAATAATAAAAGCATAGTCCAAGAAATTCCCTTCCCTCTTACAAGTTATTTGGTGTTGGCCAATTCTGGAGAAAGTCAACCTCTGATGAATCTGTGATGACTCTCTTAGTGACTAAGTATTCCAGAAACCTCATCCATTGATGGAATAATTCCCACTTTCATTAATTGGTCCAGAGCTTTGCTTAGTCCATCATATAGATTATCAAAATTATTCCCATATGCAATTATGTCATCCAAGTAGATACGTATAACATTCCAGTATAGTTCTGACAAAAAACACATCATTAAACATTGAAATGTAGCAGATGCATTGCATAACCCAAATAGTAACACAACAAATTACCCTAATGCATTTCCTGCAGTAAAGGATGTCTTCTGTGTTTTTGCTATGTTGACTTGCAATAGTCAATATCTACTCTTAAGATCCAACGTTGAAAACCATTTTGTGATACACATAGTAGAATCCAAAGTAGAGTCAATCCTTAGCAGTTGATAGGTATTCTTTTTTGTGGCTTTATTCGTTTTAAGGTAGTCTGTGAAGAACTTTATGGATCCACATCTTTTTTCTTCACATGAGGTCCATTGGAGAAGGTGTCTCGATATTCCATGAGCTGGCATTGATCAGCTGTAAGATCTCCATATTTCTGGTTAAACAGCTCTTCTACATGAGGTGATAAGCTGTCCTTATGTAAGGATTTGACATCAGATCTTGTACACCTTTCTTCAAAGTTGACTACTTCTAATATTCTCTCATGTGGAAATACTACCTGCACAACCTCACATCTTGCAATGTCCCATTCAGACTTGGCTCGAATTTTATAATTTCTTATATCCATAATCTTAATAACAATGTCTTTGTTTTTCAGGACCACTAGAGTTATACTAATCGTTACTCCACCAGGACATGTTGAAATGTTAGGTTCTATTACAGCATAGTCACCCAATGTAAATTTATTTTTAACATATCCTGGTATGAATATTTCACTTCTTGGTGGTACAACGACTGCTCTCATTGTTGTCACAAGAAATTAAATCTATGATGTAGTAATTGCCATGTAGTGCACAGGGATTTCCTGATCATAGACTATGAAGCTAGCCTAACCTCACATCTATGTCTCCGCGTGAATTCAGTTCCCAATATGTACTCTTCCTCGATGTTGATTACCTAGACATCATAAGGCATAGAGAAGTTTCTTACAGTAAGGGCAACTTCTAACTTTCTTCTTGCTGGAAATTTATGTCCACTTGCCGGTCACATCATTCCCTCTTATTTCTTTATCTATGGAAGCAATTTCTCACCTTTAATTACCAAATCAGCTCAACTTATTTTAGTTGTAAAACTAGTATCAGTCAGCATATTACAAAGCTTCCCATCAATAAACCCATGGAATCCTAAAATAGTTTCTTTAAATAATGAACTTCTTATTTCATTTGGGGCAGATGGGGTATTCTCATAAGGCCAGCTCATTCCTGTTTCCCAATGTCTAATTAATATTTTGCTGTTCCTTTGATATAGTTGGGCTTGAATACACATCTTTGGTTTATTAGCAGATATTGATTCCTCACAATCTCGCCTATAATGGCTAGGTTTCTCACATCTATAACAGTTTCTTCTTTTTGGTATCCTTTGGGAGAAGTATGTATTTCATACAAGCTATCGTGTGCAGTTCCTTGCAATTGTCTTATGATTTATTTCCCCCATTCTGTGTAATTAGTTATTTAACTAATCCATTTAGATCTTCTAGACTTTTGTCAGCAGAAGTTGATGTTTTAATACTAGTTGCTCTAATGATCCTGTAACTTTGATATGGTGTTTTCAACTGTTTATCTAAAACTTTAATTGATTCTAGTTCCATGGACAATTACAGAGTTTCCTGGATATACTCTTATTTTGTTTCAGCCTAATTCTCAAATATTCGTCAGTTATGGCTCCTATAAATTGGTCATGTGCCAACAAATCCATCATTTCAAATGGATTGCCCAAGTAAGATAATTGGACAAGCCCTTTCAAATCTGCTACAAGTTTGGCTAAAGTCTCTAATTTCCTCCACACCCTATTATGGAACATTGCTCTAGATACTTCCTTCTGGTATGTCATACAAACCTGTTGGATGAGGCATTTACAAATGCTTGATAGTTGTTACAGCTCTTAGCTAGTAGGTTACTTAATGTTGTTAAAGCTGGTCCTCAGTGAGATGAATAGGTTATTGTTCACTATTCCACCTCTTCATTTTGGAAATGATCCTGGTATGCCTCCCATGGTACATTTCTGTTATGGTCCATTGATTTCTTGATTGGCTGATGTGAAACTGTATTTGGTACTGACAAGACTGGAGCAGTTCAGGAAA